CAAAACAGAGGAGCATATTTATTCACAAAAAAAGATGAACTGCAGAGCGGGAAACTTGAAAGCTGAAGAAAATTGCGATAAAAGTATCACTACAAACAGAATACTTCTAAGTGACCTCGGACTAATTATTTACAATAACAATTATATTGTAAATATTATAATACACAGCATGTTCTGCAGCCATAGGTGAGTTTGAGAAATTTCTACGTTAGCTATATACATTCTATCGATCAATCTTTTTTTAGCTCGTCGGCTAAAAAATTATCACAGTGTAGAATGCCAACAACCCTTTTTCTGGTAGGTGAAAGTAAGTTGTAACACGTGGGTGTTTACTACTTATTTAGACGATAAACAGATGGATTTAGGATAGAAACAGTAACCTACACCAGGATGGAATACCGAGTCAAATGTGTGACACGGCGAGATCACCATTGATAACCGGTGGGTATCGCCCTCAGTCATCTCCATTAATGTTGGGATTATGTTCAAGGTACTGTTGGAAGCAATGACGGATTTTGTCGAATTGGCTCAAGCATACAATGTACTTCAAGTAATCAGTAGGAACGCCATTTGTCGTTTCACAATAGACAAGGCATTGGTCGATTACCTAAATTAGCAATTTAGCAGTTACAAAATTAAGAAAAGTCAGTCCCTCGGGCAAAAAAAGCTTACGTTCTGTCCACGGCAACAAGCTGTATGGTCAGCTCTGGATGAGGCGCAATCCCACATCTCCCCGACTGTAGGTCCACGAGGTGCACATTGAGCCATGAATCCAATGACCTGAAAACGAAGTGCAGGTAGGACTTTGTTTTTGGTCTCAAAAAGAATGGGACGTGTTTGTTAGGGACCACCTACTCATGCCTTTGTGAGACTGACTTTAAAAAAGTGTTATTTGAATTCATGGAAGTAAATCGAGGATATGGGGTAGACTGATTTCGACTTATATTTGCATTATACAAATTTTGAATCATGAATTTAGACAGAACTTGATCATAACACGATATTTGGTCCCCTTGGTGGGATGCGCACCGCTTTCGCCTTTCGATTAGAATCATAGTAGCGTTTTGAAGGCATTTGCTGCCTACACATTTACTTCTTGCGGGACCACCCGATGGACGAGTCTTTGCTTTTGTCCTCCCAAACGAGTCTGGTGCCAACTGCTTCCGGAGGGATAGATGTCTTTGTTAGTCTAGACGGATTTCAATCCGGAATTCGAACACGTGACCATGCATGTGTCAAGTGCGCCCCTTGCCACTACACCAACTCCGCCCCTATCACAACTACAGGATCTATGTGATGTTTTTTATCATTTAATACTGCTCGTGCTGCTGCATTGCCATTTATGGATTATCAGAGAGGGCCATTACATCGACCAGTAAGTACATCCACTAGCCTACCCCATTTATGCCTGTTCATAGCCACATTTGCCCCGATCCAGCTAGTTATTTAGATACGAAGATCTAGCAGTCATAAGAGCTTTGTACACTCATAAATCATCAGTATGTAGCATTTTTTATACTCAGGTTTACGTCACTTCGGAAAAAATCACTCTTCCATCACCATCGCGGAACGGACAAAGTGTGATCGGGGAAAAAACAAAGGCAGCTAAAAACATCAAAGTTCGGTTCTCCATAAATCCAAAGACCCTGGGATTGGTTTTCTGTGAACGACAAAAATCCATTCAGAAGACTCATGCCCTCAATGGGCACCAAAAACTAGCATTGAAGCGATGGTCATCTCTTACCATCACCAGGCAGTCCCTCGAATTCCAGGGTCTACCTTAACCATCTAGCGTAGGTAAAAGGCTGATGGTGGTGAAGGTGGTGACATTGGTGACATCCTCATCACGGTTGTAGGATTAGGATTAGTAGCGGTTAGAAGTTATGAACGTCCAGTAGCCGTCGCTGCTTTCAAATGGTGCCCACCAATCCAATTCGAGGCAACTACTAGGAATTGGTGGGCACTGTGCATTGTCCATGGCTCATCCTTTCCTAAGCCCACAAAAAGATATTTCCGAAAAAATGGATAGGATAGTTCCGAAAAACGGTTATGAATTCCTTGGAGATTGAAGGAACGATGAAACTGTCCAAATTCCTGCCAACGACTTCAAGAATGAGTCCCGAATTCGCCCTTACTCGTGAATTTCGATAGAACAGGTTCAATTCAGCCCAGAATTCAGTGATAATTTATTGAAGTGGAATTCAGTGTTAGGGGTTTCGGGGCAATCAATCCGCTTAATCGAGCAAAAAGGAGGGCAAAAGGGAAAGTTGCATGTTGCGTGCTCTCGGATGTTTTTTCTTGTTCACCGTGGGTAAGCGCTCCAGAAAACATGGGCCAAAACTGCCATGCGTCTCTTTTAAGAAGGATAGGGTGCCCGAACACGTTCCAATTGACGCAACGATCGTAAAAAGCATCGTATGACTCAGAAACCAGAACGTATAGTTACGTAATCCTTGGAAATCTTGCTAAGCTGCAATCTGGAAGCCTTCTTAGGCTATTGCTGCTCCAGAGCAGCTTGTATGCCTCAAATCCCGAACTTAGCTTACCCTGAGGGTCACAATCGACTGAGCGACTTAAGTGAGAGAAATCCTTCAAAATATCTGATCCCTTCATCTTTTAGCTACTTTCCCTTCTTAGGAGGCTTTCATAGGTTCCTGGATCTGCCATGAGAAACCTAGTAAGCACCAAAGGGTTGCCTGACTAAGACAATCTTCAAAGAAATCCCGTGAGGGAAACGGCATCGTGAAGCAGGGATTCAATGCCATTTCCCGATAGACGCCAACTGTGAGCGATGACATCAGAACCTTTATTTCAACACAGAACTGAAAGGCTGACTACAAGAAAAGATGCTATGCCATGTTCCAAGGAACCTACCTTGTTCTTTACAATGGGCTATTCCTACAACTATACCTCCCTCACAATACTTTGAAGTATTGATAATTACAGTAGATCACTGTGAATCACTGTAAACCCAGTCCCCGATCACTTCAAAGGCTATTCCAATTCATAGGAAAAGGTCAGATGTGGGCCAACGCCAAGTATGGCCTTGATCACGTATACGGTATGGGGATCGGGTAATGAGTATTGTCTCGAAAACCCGATATTCAGATGACTCGTAGGAGATCTGAATCAGCCACCGTCACTCCATCCATTCAAGCTGTCAATTAGAGTATCAAGGAAAGGGGTTAATCACAATGAAGCCTACCTATTAGTAATTTTGAATAAGAAGACATAAAGCCATAACCGGGACTTGCTTTCTAGCTTCGAATTTTTGTGTCACCTTCTCTATTGGCACAAAATAAACACAGAAGTAAAGTGTGGAACTCCAAAGCTTCAAAAGAAGTACGAACCATGTCCGGACGGAGAGCGTTGAAGTCGCAGTACCTACGACGACACTCAATGTCGGCGTCTTTCAGCGATCGGCAGCATGTTCGTAACTTCTGATTGGCATTTCGTTGTCCAGGGATACCATAACTGGAAGCGGTTATTTCAATTTTAAATTTTCATTGAGCAATATTGACCTGAAAAAAAAGTGGTATTCGATCCCAAGAAAGAAAAGCACGTTCCCTAGTCTACTCCTACCATAATCGACCCCTACTAGATCTCATAAAGCTAGATGAACCGTCATTTGATCTGGATTGTTCCTCCTGAGGGGTAACCAATCCCCAAACCAATACGAAAATCTTTCCAGACGAGTATCACATTCACAAAGGAAATACATAAGACAAAGATTAAGCGATTCATGATAATTGGACATCACAGTAATAGATAGCCTCTGGGCCATCGCCATCTAGGGAGGCCTAGCCCTCCTTCCTTTTATCGGTCGCGTTTGTCAGAAAAGATCTATCAAAAACACCCCAAATAATTACCCCTGAAAGGGGACCGCCTGTGTAGGCTCAGAAATGCCGTTGAATTCTGCAACACCCGAATAGGACTATAAGAACACCTACATGGCTCTGGTCCTGGCAAGTGCTGCCTCATGCTGAAGGGTACCGGCAGCCATTGGCCGTCGCCATTGCGGTTGGATTGCCTGAACTGGTTGAACTGGACGCTGCTGCTGTTGCTGAAATTGCTGGAACGGATTCCATTCCCATTGACACATTGCTGTGGGGATAATTAACAACAACCACAGCATCCTGAAATAGAACGGTATTACGCCGTGCACTCAAAAGCTGCTAGGAAAACGAACATGCCAACTGGCAAACGATATCTCGACTGATCTCAATATAATCATCAGTCAGAAATCCGCTAGATGAAAAAGCAAGTTTTGGACAAAGCCACGTAAAAGAAGAGCGAGAACGTAGGAAGTTGTCGATTATCGCGATAAACCAGATATGAGAACGCCAAAAATGTCGATTGGGATTATGGCGTACACCCAAATGGGTAAGTTCTGGACTAATAATGATGGCCATTCAGGACATGTAGTGTCACACGTATTGAGGCAACCAAAAAAGATGAACTGAATGTTGGGATGTCGATGGATCTGGGTTGGGACGGTATGTATGGTTGAGCTGACCGGTTCTGAATAGCTATCGCAGGTGGCTGGATGGTTTAGCTCGTAGACAAAACAGCCATACACCAGAACAAGTGGACGGTATAAGCAATATTTCCGTGTCTGCCCATCATGGTCCACAAAAAACTCCTCCTTCTCTTATTGTAAAGTGTAAAGTGAATACAAGAACACTTAGAAGGAGGAAAAATGCTAAATGATGACGTCTGGGCGGTTTAGGAAGTTTGGTAAAGGAATGTGGCTTCTTATATACCGTCTGGGGATTCTAGTGTAACGAATGAAACCAGCCGCTGTTCTGTTCTCAAATGTGGCCAGATGACTGGTTTCAACCTTGCCCTTGCTATCACTCCTGATCTGGGGAACACCTTCCGGGAGAGCGAAAGCTCAATGAGCTTTGATCAACTATAGAGGACACGATCAACTCCTCATCTGAAAGGGGTGTGGGTTAGTAGATGGGTGAAACATCTAGGAACATCTACTGATACCCGGGAATGTACCAGAAACGAGTTGAGTAGTGATTTGAATGGACCTGTTTCAGGGTAGAGGGAAAGATGGCCTCAAAGTTCTTAGAGAAATTCAACAAGCTAAGCTAAAAAGTTACTAAAAAAGGATTGGGAAGGTGTCTACGCAGCTAGCTGGTCAAGAGGAAGAAGAAAGAGGAAAAAAGATGAAAATATGACCAGAGAGAGGAAGTGATCGCAGCCAAGCTAACCGGCACTGTGATTATGTATGATAGCGACGCGATTGCAGGTCATCACCCGGACGGACCTGATCGTTTCTCATCGCTATAGAGTCGTCGTCGCCCGCTATGAAGTGGATCTTGAAGCCCCGCTGAGCGGCAGAAACTTATCCATTGTGGTCGCGATCCATAGCCGATCTTTCTCAGGCTATTATCGCTTAATCTGTCGTAAAAGT